CCTTATTCCTTCTTGGTTCTTCCATTCAACTATGCATTGTCATATTGATTAGGCATTTCTTAATCATTTAATTTTTTATTTTTTTAAAGAAATCATTTAATAATTTTTAGAAAAGAAAAAAAAAAAACCGTTTACACTCATCTCATATTTGTTTCTTTCTCCGGATCTCTCTACAAGTTGGGAACTCAACCGTTTTAAAATTTAATTCAATATATATATTTAATTTGTAATTATTTTTTTATTGTTTATTCTTTAACCCTCCTAATTATTTTTAACCGTTATTTTAAGAAATATATATTGAAACTAAGTTGTAAAACTTAATTAAATATTTGAAAATAAATAAATAGTTTTCTTTATGAATTAAATTTTAACAAATAAACANGAATCTAACCCAACCTAAAAATTTGATGGTTGTGTTCATGCATTTGGGGGATACCCCTATCCCATCACAGAATTATCCTTAAGGGAACTACCTCTCTTCTATCCCTAAGAGTGGTAGGAGTGAATTCCATCTTGCACCCCACGTCCCCAGTCATTTACCCAGTGTTACCCCTGAAATGGGAGGCCTATTAAGTTGGCGAACTTGAGCCACTCTCACCCATGCAAATCTAAGGATAATTCCGAATAAAGAGAAGTTCATGGTTAGCTCAGGATTAAGATCGAGTTACCTAAGTCATCGAATGAAAAGAAAATCAGTCTCAACAGTAAACAACATGATAAAGTGAGAGTGATTTTTCTCATGGTTCGATCTTATGCAATACTCATTGCATATGACGCCCCCACTCACATGTCTCCACATGTACAATTTAAGTGATCACATTGTTTATATCAGAAACAAAAGTGAACCGCATCCATAGTGTCCTCAGAATAAGGTACTCAGCCTTATCCTTATACTATAGATCATTTTGACTATATATTTGAACTTGATCAACTCTTATGTCTCTACATATAGTTCACGTAANTTCACGTAATCATACTATAGCCAGAGTGTTCTTAGTTTATTGGATTTAGATTAATGATCATAAAGTTCACTTTATTCAATAACAATCTTTACTAAATAAACAACAATAATAACTTTATTGAAAATAGCATATGTTTTTGTTTACAAACCATGAGTTTTAGGACATAAAACCCAACAAACTCCCACTTGGACTAAAACTCTAGTGGGGTTTTATAACATTGAGTAGAGAGAAAGACATAAATACAATAAACTAGGT